AAGAAGAGGAACAATAGGGTGATCCGATTTCTCCAGCTCTGCAAAAGCTGTCTTCGCGCTACTGCGGAGGATAAACAGAAACGCACACCCCGGCCGACCACTGACCTTCAGAACTGGTCCCCCCTAAACTGAGTTCTACCCTCGGCCTCAACCCTACCCCCACCACCGGGCTCTCCCTGAAGCCCCCAGAGGTGCGAGGACGCCGCATCCCTGCAGGCGCTCACCTCTAAGTTTTCATCAGGAACTTCTTGTGCATGTCGGAGATGCCCAAAGACACCCCGAAGGCCGACGGCAGGAGGATGAGGCCGAGCACCAGCGTCCGCCAGGTGAAAAGGATCTTCCTGGCCAGCTCTGCGCCCTCCATGGCTGTGCGTACCTTTCGGAAGGGGTCCCGGCGGAGGTCCGGGCGCGACGGCTGTCCCTGGCCCCAGGCAGTCAGCCAGTCGGGTCGCAGCTCGCAGAGCAGAGGCGCAGAGCCCGGCCCGGGAGAATGAGCACTTACCTCTGCAGGGGGAAAAAGAGAGGAAGGAAAAAGTATCACAACGACCGCAATTTCCCTCCTTCCTTTTGGGCTCCTCCTTTGCTGGCCGATTAACTCTTTCTCCGCTGGAGGCGCAGACCGGCGCGGAAACCACAGCAGCGCACGCAGAGCTGGTAACCCCAGCCAGGAGAGGCTAGCTATGGTGACCCCACGGCGCCGGGAACGCGCCCCACCCGGTGCCTGATTTCCTCTCGGTTGCGATCGCGACAACTCAGCGGGTGACCCACGGAGGCCCTTGAGAGTAAGGATCCCTGCGGGCGTCCCGTACTGCACCACACCAGCCTCCCTCGGAACCGGCTCCGGGCAGAAGACTGTGCTGGAGGCTGGTGGCGCTCCGCCTCCCGAAGCCCTATTTCTGCGCGCTGCCCTCGCCCCACCTCCTCCGACATCCAACCCCGAGCACCCAAGCCTGAGAGCGTCTCAGCCTCCTGGGCGTCCTGGTTTCGTCCCTTGCCCCGCCTCCCCCAGAACTTCAGCGAGAATCCTTGGGGAGCAGAATTTTCATCTACAAAATGTTAGCAGTTTCTCCACCCCCACCCCCACCCCCAAACTAACCACTGACGTGCCCGGGATGCTTGAGAAGGTCCTGGGCGCATTCAAGGGGAGAGCGAAATGCTCAGAGCGCTGCGAGCTGCCTTTTACCCCGCTTCCAGGTCTCCTACACCTTCCCTTCCCTACGGAGCTGCGTTTATTAAGGCGGCGTGGAAAGCTCTGCTCCACTCAGCCGCCGTCTCCCTGGCATGGAAATCTTTCAGCTGAGTCTGGCTCTCTGCCTGGCGAAGAATCCAACCACAGATTCCCTTACTGCTCACCCAACACTCAAGCGCACTGAGAGCTGCCGAAAAACGCCAGGCTGGCGCAAGCCTTCACCAAGCTGACAGCGCCCCCCGGACAGTATCCCCGCACTGCTTGCTGCCTTGCTGGCGCTGATGAGAACCAGACGGCCCAAGCCTGTGGGTACTCACTTCACGGCCGTTCATGCTTCTGAGAGACGTGATCTGACTTTAAGACTGAGCATGAGAATCCGGTGCTGGGAGTGCAGTAGATAAGAAAACCCGGCTGCCCAGATTTCCCAGACCATCACTGAATGGGACCAAAACCTCCTACAGGTGTGTTTCAGGTGTTATTTCAAGCTGGAAAAAACTAGGAGAGCCAGCAAACTGAATGGAAACTGTTGATAGCAAATACTGCAGAGAAAGTGGCCCGTGCCCAGGGTGTGGAGCAGCGGTTCTCAACCTGTGTGTCGCGACCCCTGAAAATACATCCTGCACATCAGATGTTTACATTACAATTCATAACAGTGGCAAAATTACAGTTATGAAGTAGCAACGAAAATAATTTTATGGTTGGGGGTCACCACAACATGAGGAACTGTATTAAAGGGTCGCGGCATTAGGAAGGTTGAGAACCACTGGGTGGAGGAAGTGGGAAGCAGAAGGGAGGAGGCCAAGGAGAAAAGAAGCCAAATTGCCAAGAATGTAAATGTTTGTCCTCTGCACCTCCTGCCAGTTAGGTGTCACAAACCCCCTTTCCCACTGAGAAGGGGGAAATTGATAACCTGGTCATAAAAAAACAAGTTATGAATGAAGACGTTCAAAAGCGCTTGGTTTCTCAAAATTAAACGTGGTCTGCCAGTTTACAAAAACAAGGACAACACAGCTGCCGGAATCTTTTGAAACCAAAGCCCGCCTCCCCCCGCCAACTCATACAGTACAGAACCAAAGGACCGGACATAACTTAAGCACCCGAACCCTTTCAGAAGCCAAGGGTCTATTGTCCAGGAAGATCCAGAGTTGGTGCCCCTGACTATAAATGGCCAAGTCCTAAGATCCACCAATTAAAACTTGCCCCACCAGCACTTCTGCATACCTGTTCCCTCTAACTCCTTAAAGTCCCTTAACCTAGTCCAGCGAGCAAGATGGATTTGAGGCACCCTTAGATCTCCCTCTTTGTTGGCACCTTCTCAATCAATAAATCTCTCCTTACACACACACACACACAAAGATTTACTGAATAACTACTATGAGGAATGCACTGTTGGGGACACAAAAATTAATAAGACATAATTTTCATCTTCTGGAACTCGTGATTAAATGCATAGCAGACACACATAAACAGCTCCACTAAAAGGCTCCTTGTTGGAGTAAGAAACAGAGCTCTATGAAGAAAGAGAGATGAACTTAATTAAAGAGTTGTCTGAGAAACTTCAAATGAGAGATGGGTTTATATTTGGCCATTTATTTATTTATTTATTTAAAAAATTTATTGGGGCCGAAACCGGTTTGGCTCAGTGGATAGAGCATCGGCCTGCGGACTGAAAGGTCCCAGGTTCGATTCCGGTCAAGGGCATGTACCTGGGTTGCAGGCACATCCCCAGTAGGAGATGTGCAGGAGGCAGCTGATCGATGTTTCTAACTCTCTATCTCTCTCCCTTCCTCTCTGTAAAAAATCAATAAAATATATTAAAAAAAAATTTATTGGGGTAACATTGATCATATAGGTCTCAGGTGTGGGTTTCTATGTTACAAGGTCTGTATATTGTACTGTGTGCCCACCACCCAAAGTCAAATCTTCTCCCATTACCATATATTAGTACCCCTTAACCCCACCCCCTTCCTTCTGACAGCCATCACACTGCTGTTTGTGTTCACGAGTTTGTTTTATATCCCACATGAGGGAAATCATATGGTTCCTAGCTTTTTCTGACTGACTTATTTCACTAAGCATAATATTCTCAAGGTCCATTCATATTGTTGCAAATGGCAGTATGTCATCCTTTCTTATGGCTGAATAGTATTCCATTGTGTATATGTACCACATCTTCTTTATCCAGTCCTATATTGCTGGACACTTTGGTTGTTTCCACATCTTGGTCACCATGAATAATGCTGCAATGAACATAGGGGTGTATATATCTTTGCCAATACATGTTTTCAAGTTTTTCGGGGATACTAGTATACCCAGGAGAGGATTGCTAGGTGGTATGGTAGCTCCAGTCTTAAGTTTTTGAGGAATCACCAGACTGCTTTCCATAATGGTTTGTACCAGTTTGCATTCCCACCAGCAGTGGATGAGGGTTCCCTTTTTTCCACAACTTCTCCAACACTTGTTATTACTTGTCTTGTGGATAACAGCCACTCTAACAGATGTTGAGGTGGTATCTCATTGTAGTTTTGATTTGCATTTCCCTAATTGCTAGTGCGGTTGAACTATTGGCTATCTTCTTGAAAGAGGTGTATTTTCAGGTCTTTTGTCCACTTTTTTATTGGGTTGGTTGTTGTTGAGTTTTATGAGTTCTTTATATATTTTGAAAATTAAACCTTTGTGAGAGGTTTAATATCACCTCCCATCTGGTTGGCTGCTTCTTTGTTTTGTTGTCTGTTTCTATTGCTGTGCAGAAGCTTTTTAGTCTGATATTGCCACATTCATTTATTTTTGTATTTCCTTTTTTAAAATCAAGCAATATCATTCAAGATTAGTTATTTTTTAGTAAATAATATTTGTTTTTGCTGCAGTATTTCCGCAGCAAGGGTTCAGGAATCTGGAGAAGGGATACGCATAAATGGATAGAGACTAGACAAGAAATATAAATTTGGAAGGCATGGGGGAAAGCCAGGCAGAAACCAGATCTCTAGTGGAGTGGCTCTCTGAATGTCCGGACCCATGCCTTTTTATTTACACATTTTGACCTTTAGCAAAGCAGACACACATATCAAAGGTAAGGTTTGGTAAACAGCAATGGATTATCAGGTTAGGGCAGTGGTCGGCAAACCGCGGCTTGCGAGCCACATGTGGCTCTTTGGCCCCTTGAGTGTGGCTCTTCCACAAAATACCACGTGCGGGCGCACACGTACAGTGCGATTGAAACTTCATGGCCCATGCGCAGAAGTCAGTTTTCGGCCTGGGCGAGTCTATTTTGAAGAAGTGGCTTTGGAAGAAGTGGGGGGTGTCAGTCGGTCTGGCGATGGGAGATGCAGCGCGGGGGAGGCGCTCGCGATTCATGCACGAGTTGAGTGAGCCAGTCAGCAGTCTTATGTGCAGTGGTTAGTGCTAGTCACGTCTGCAAATCGTGCGCAGGTGACAAAAGTACCTACTCAAAGCATAAAGTTACCTGTATTTTTCCAACCAGCTGCAAATCCTACAGGTATTTTTGTCATCAATTTAAGAATTGTAATTCTTTTGTGTTGGTAGCTTTATTATTATAAAATGAAACATTTTTTTAGGTGCCCTGTTTGAGATGGCTACAAAGAAGAAGCAAAGAAAAATGGAAGACAAAAACGGTGAATTTAAAGTTGAATGTACCTACCTATATAGTTTAAGTTTAAAAAATTTGGCTCTCAAAAGAAATTTCAATCGTTGTACTGTTGATATTTGGCTCTGTTGACTAATGAGTTTGCCGACCACTGCTCTAAGAGGTCAAGGACTATGATTTCAGAGAGTATCCGATATTTTGTATCACATGACTGGAAAAGCACAAAACAATAAGTTACATGAAGTTCAGAACAGAGTTAGTCATTTCGAGGCATTCTTGGCCTTTTTGGTAAGATTCATTTCCAGGAAAGAAATTATGAAGTACATCATAGCTGTCATTTTTAGTCAATGTATTGCATATTTTTCCTTAACATACTATCATAGCAATTTCTGGGGCTAAGAAATTGTCCCTCAAATCCTCTCCTCTCCCCCAGGTCTGTACCCTGGGAGTGTTGTTTCTCCTTTCCACACTTACCCAAACAAGACACTATAACAGAGCTGCAGATTTGATTCTTTGCAATATCTGCTCCTCTACTGAATAAAAATAATGCAAATTAGTAGGTAAGCACACCTGGGTAATAAAGCTACCTGGAGGCCATTAAAATATAGTCAGCCATCAGGTATCCAGTCTAGTAGAATGGTGCTTGACTCTTGAATTTGGATGTCCATTGCCTTCCTCAGATTTGGGAAGTTTTTACCATTATCTACTGGCAGTACCATTGTGCATATACTGGTCCACTTGCTGATATCTCGTAAGTGCCTTAGGCTCTTCACTTTTTTTTTTCTTTTTTGCTTCTCTGACTGGATAACTTCCAATGACCTGTCTTCAACTTTGTTGATTCTTCCACAGCTCGATCATTTTTTTTTTTTTTATTCTTTAGCTGTTGAGCCCCTCTAGTGTATTTTTCTCAGCTCCAGAATTTCTGTTTGGTTCTTTTTTTATAGTTTCTATCAAAATATTCTTATTTTGTTCATGTTTTATTTGCATGGTTTCACTTAGTTGTCTGTGTTCTCATGTAGATCATGGAGCTTCTTTAAAACTTATTTTGAACCCTGGCTGGTGTTGCTCAGTGGTTACAGTGTCCACCCACACACTGAAGGATCACGGGTTTGATTCCTGGTCAAGGGCACGTACCTGGGTTGCAGGTTTGATCCCTGGTCCCAGTCAGGGCCTGAGCAGGAGACAATCAATCAATGTGTCTCTCTTATATCAATGTTTCTCTCCCTTCCTCCCTTCTCTCTAAAAATCAACGGAAAAAATATCCTCACGTGAGGATTAACAAAGAAAGTGTTGGAGTCCTGGCAGGTGGCTCTGTTGGAGTGTCGTCCTGCACATGAAAACGTTGTGGGTTTGATTCCCCGTCAGGGCACATACCCAAGTTGTGGGTTCGGGGCATGTACAGGAAGCAACCAGTTGATGTTCCTCACATTGATGTTTCTCTCCCTTCCTTTCTCTCTAAAATCAATAGAAAACATATCTTCACATGAACTTTTTAAAAAAAGTGTTGGAGTTGGCCTTGATTAGAAAATGTTCATACTCATAAAAGTCTATTCCAAAATCCTCATAAATCAAAAGAAAGGCATCATTAAAGCAAGGAGCGCAGCTGTACATGGTTGCAGATCACTAGACCCAACATTAGGAACTACAGTGGGATAATGAGGTACCGTTTTAGCAAAGACCACATGTGGGCACATGCAGAAACTAGGCCAAGGTTTTAAAAAAATTTTAAAGGACAATTCTTGCTATCCATTATTTAATTTCTAATAATAACATTAAGTTCAAATGGAACACTTTGTGCTGGTGGTTTTACATGCTAAGTCCTTCCCTGAGGTAGGTGCTATAGTTACCTTCATTTCACAGATGAGAAAGCAGGTTTGGGAGTTAAGTGACTTAACCACTGAGGAAGAGATAGGAACCTACCTTCATCTTTCTGACTCCACAATGTTCTCAACCGCTATGACTGTTATGAACACACTTAGCTCCAAGAACAAAAAACTTAAAGGAAAAAGGAATCTAAAGAAGTTTATTTTTCTCACATGAAAACTCCAGAGGAGTTAGTCTAGGGCTCTTATCTTGAGGCTGTCTTCAAGGAACCAGGTCCCTTTTCTTACCTGGCTGTCTTTAACGTGTGCCTCTGACCTCACACCAAGTCACAAAGTGGCTGCTGTGTCCCAAGGCATCATATCTGCATTCCAGGAGAAAGGGGTGGAGAGCAAATGTCAAAAGCCTTTCAGAGAAGCCTCTCCTTTCTAAGAGAGAAGCCCTCAGAAATTCCAGACTACATTTCATTGGCCAGCCAACTCTAGCAGGAATTGAGTGTTTGGCCTTTCAAAAGTAACAGGCATGGAAAAGTGAGGGGTGAGTGTTGAGTAAGCCAACTTCTACATCACATGCACAAATAACCCACACAATCATTCCGCCCAATTACATGTCGGATAAAATTCGAGTTATTAAGCCTAGCATAGAGGGCCCACATGACCTAGTCCCCTATGAAGATCCCCAACCCCCCTGCCTCAGTGTAGTCAGGATGGCCACCTTCTGCCACTAAACATGTATTAGTGATTAGAATAAACTGAGCATGACAGAATAACCACAACTATACCTTAACCACTAGACGATTTTTATTTCCCTCCCTCAAAACAATCTACTAGCGCCTGGCCGGCATGGCTCAGTGGTTGAGCCTCAACCTATGAATCAGGAGGTCACGGTTTGATTCAGTCAGGGCACATGTCCAGGTTGCGGGCTTGATCCCCAGTGTGGGGTGTGCAGGAGGCAACCGATCAATGATTCTCTCTCATCATTGATGTTTCTATTTCTCTGTCCCTCTCCCTTCCTCTGAAATCAATAAAAATGTATATTTAAAATAAAACAATCTACTAGGTTGAAGGCCAGGAAGGAAGGTTCCAGCATCTTCAATGGCCTGGGTTCCTTCTATTTTGTTGCTGCTATCTTCCACAGGCAATTTCTGGCTCAATATTTTTGTTAATCCTCACCAAGGATATTTTTTCCATTGATTTTTAGAGAGTGAGAGGGAGGGAGAGAGGGGTGAGAGAGAGGAATATCAATGTGAGAGGGAACCTCGATTGGTTGCCTCCCAATAAGCCTTGACCCAACCGTGGATGGAACCTGCAACCCATCTGCTACTCTTGACTGGGAATCGAACCCGAGACCCTTGGGTGATTGGGCTGAGTCTCTAACCACTGCGCAACTGCCCAGGGTCTGGCTTATTCATCTTGTGAACCCAAAAACAGCACATAGTAGGTGCAAACAAATGACAAGAACTTAGAGAGATTAAACTTAAAGTGAAGGAAATGAGTGCCACATCCTAAGTAAGCTGTACAATGCTTTCCACTTTTCACCTTCTACTTGGACTTAACAGTTCCAACGGAGCTCCACTAGGAGGCAGCACGTACACATATACAGTATGAACGTGAGAATCCTCTTAAAAAACGGAAGGGATCTGAACTACAAATCCCAGCATGCACTGTTAAGCGCCTGACTTGCTTCTGCACAAAGGTCTCAAGTTAATTGCTGGCTGAGCGATCAGAAGGACGCCATCCATTTGCTGCTCTAAAGTAAGATTTCTCAATGTATTTCAAATGAAACTTTGGAGTGGGAAAAGGGGAGGTGGAATTTTTAGATATTGCTTTTTTTCTGCACATTATCTATTCCAGGATTAATTTTAGCAGTTAAATCAGGATAAGGGTGGGTTTTTAGCGAGTTTGAAACTCTGATATTTTAGTAAGTTTTTCAGAATAGCCAAAGAAAAGAGGATTTTTCAGTGTCTTACGTGAACATTTTTCTTCCTGGCTCCTGATAATAGAGTTCGTCAAAATGCTCTGTTTGTGTCAGTGCTCGTCGGAAATTAACATTTTGATTCCAATATTTAGAGTAAGGAAGACATCGTGTGTGGTTCTCACGTTGGATGTATTGAAAGTTGCCTCGTTTCACCATTGCAGGCCATGTTTGCACTCATTTTCCTTAATATATCCGTTTTCGTTTAATAGTAAGCCTTTGGATCCAAAATCTGGCCCCAGAAAGGCAGGGCGGGCAGCGAGAGGCCGGTTCTCGGAGTGAAAGGGCTACTCTGTGCCTCAGCAGTCGTTCAGCCCCTCTTCTCAGCGTGTCACGGGGGAACCTTTAGCTGCGCCTTCGCAGGGCCACGTGTCAGATGTCACTAACGCCGAGAGGAGTGTGAGCTAACAGCTTTGTAATACACCCTGCTCAGGACTGGAGGAGGGTGCAGACTGTTGGAATCTCTTACTTTCTAAAGTATATATTGAATATAGCTCTTAACTCTTTTCATGTTTAAAGTGAAAATGTGTCGCTTGTGTAATAAGAAAAAACAACAGTGCAGACGCATCGGTTGCATCAGAGGGGGTCAGGCACCCTAAAAGCCAGCTTCGCCACCGCATCACAAATGTGGGCTTACTCAGAGAACACCTGGGAAGGTGCCAGCCGGTCCCTGAAGCCAGTTCTTCCTACGCCTCGTTCATCCGGCCCCTTGAGGAGCGGACTCCCAGATAGATAAAGAGGCCTGGGGTTTACTGGGGGAGGCAGCGATGAGAGAATACAAGGAGGAACTAGGTAAGGCTGGAGGAGCCGGCAGACCACCGCGATGGTGCCGTGCTGTGTGGGAGCCTGCAGGTGCTCTGCACGAGGGCCTGCCAGGCCAGTGGAGGAGCGTCGTGTCTTCTAGAAATGCATCTGCTACGGTGTTTGCACCACCCTCGGACACTGGCCCACGGGAAGGTGGCCTCAACACCAACTTGGCGGGGGGTTCGTATCGCAGGTGGCCTAGTGGTCAGTTACTGGGATCCGGGGCCAGACGGCACATGGGGTCTGCCGGGTGGGTGCGTTCGAGAACCAAAACAAGAAAAACATGAACCAGAGCTTCCCTGCAATCCGGCCTGGGTTTGAATTCATAGTGTGGAAACACTGGGCAAAGCACATGATCTCTTTGAAGTGAGTGCATTGATGGCCAAGCTGGGTCTCCGCACCCACCCCGTCTCGCTGCCACGTTCTGTTCCCCACGGTGGTCTTTCTAAAATACATGTCTGATCATGTCAGTGCCCATGGCCCTCAGGAGCGACTAGCCCCTCATTACGTCCAGCTTGGACAAAGGATGGAGGCTTGAAGTGGAAGTGCTCATCGAGTGCAGCCTAAAGTCAAGCAGGGCTGAAGAAAACAGAGATAAGTTCAAAAAGAAAGGAATGGGTCATGTGAGCCCTCTAGGCAAGACGAGCTAGCTACTTGTACCTGATCAGGCAGGTAAGCCAGCGGAGTGATTGCTTCAGTTGGTTGTCCATGTACGACTTCAATTGGTTCACCCAACACCACCTCATTCACCACCACCACCGCCTTTTTGTTTGTTTGTTTCTGCCTGGAATGCTTACTGGTATATGACGCCTTGGGACATAGCCAATCTGTGACTTGGGTGGGGTCAGAGGCACACACTAAAGATAGCAATAGGGTAGGAGAAGGAACCGAGCTCCTTGAAGATGGCCTCATTTAATTAGCATCTGAGTCTGAACCACCTCAACCTCATCGGTGGTCATTCCTCTCACTGTAAGGTCTGCAGTGCAAGCACTGGCCTTATAGCTCATGCACATCCTATTTCCCCTGTGTCAGAATTCCTCAGGCCTCCGTTTAAACATTACTGAGTGTCTGTTAAAGTGTCACTGCTGCATGCTTAACCTTAAAAGAGGACCAGCAGCATTGTGGGTGGAATGTCCAAATAGCAAGAGAGTCAGGAGGCCTGAGGTTACTGCTGGCTCTGCCGTTGACCAGCTCCTTGACCTTGAGCAGGCCCGGTCAGTTTCCTCATCTGTAAAATGAGGGTATTGGACATGATTTGATTTTCCAGCTCTTATGTTCAATGAGTCTCTGAGGCCAACGGAGACATCTTTCTAAGGGACAAGGAAAAACCTCAGGTGATTGATGTGCAAACCCTGACCAGAGTTTCCAGGAGAGAAAGCAAGGAACAGCCTGAGTAGTGAGGGCACATGGGATGCCACAGCAGCGTATGCAGGGGCAGTGCAGAGGGTGGGCAGCAGTGAAGGGAAGGACTCCACTCCTGCTGGGTCCCACCAGAGCCCTCTTCTCCGGGTACTGAAGAAACGAAAGGTAGGCGCAAATCCAATGTCTGCCTCAGTTAACACTTCAATGGGTTATGCTAAACGTGTTTGATATACACAGCTAGTACAGAGTAATAAGCATTCAGATGATGGGCTCTTAAAGGTGTACATTGAACCATTCGTTCTAGATGTTGCTGCTGGCACAGGGCCGGACCCCAGTAACTGACCAAGACCCAGGTAACTGACCACTAGGCCACCAGTACATGAACTTGACTTTAGATACATGAACTTGACTTTAGATCTCACCACAGGTTCCATTATGGGTCGACTTGATAAGAAAGTCATCATCCTGACAGCCGCCATCGTAAGTTACCGTCTCTTGCTGTTTGCTCACTATCTGTTACGGTCTCTTGCTGTTTGCTCACTATCTGTTGAAGTACTGAATTATGTGAATTCAGTACTTAAGATTCCTTGCTTGGCTACTTCTGCTCTACTTTTTTTTTTTTTTTTATGTTTGTGCTTCTGTTGTTTAAAGTTACAAAAAGAAAAGTTGCTACTTCTGACCCCAGTCAGATGAGGGAATGAATACCTCATAAGTTTGCTATGTGACATTACAGATAACCTGTGATTCTGAGAAACTTACTCCTCCATCTCGGTTTCTTTGCACCCGGGCCCTACGGGAGTGCATAGCTTTCTGAAATCATGTCGTTTCGGATAAAGGACACCAGAGTTCAAACTGTCAGGTCACCTCCACCTTCTCATTTATATCAAACCTCCCACACTATACCCCACTCCTGAGCTAATCATGTACTTTAAGCATAATGGCAGCGTGTGGTTTGACATTTATGAAAACAGTGGTATTCTTTGGAGAGGAAAGTGTTGAAATAACCCATTTTTCTCTTATTATTTGGAACATAATAAGAAATTGAATATAATAAGAACCTGCTCAGAAATGGAATACAGACTATCAAATCACAGAATAGTATTTTGAGAGGTGTTAATAATCCTAGTGGGGTTTTTTTTTTTAACACTAATTTACTTTATATTAGTTAAGGGCACAAAGTCAGATGACAAGCACAATATATCTCCAGTTGTCTTAGTTAATGATAAAAATAACAATGGGAAGGGTGAGGTGAGACTAGTTAGTTTGATATTCCACCTATTTTATAGGGAAGGGGGGAGACAAAGAAAATAAGTTAAAGGAGAAAAGGCTTAATGACTTTTCATTCATGAGAGCAATTTAAGCAAGTGCACAAAGCATTTATTTGTGTATTGTGTCTCCCAGGCTTTTGCAAGAGAAGGTGCCAAAGTCATAGCCACAGATGTCAATGAGTCCAAACTGCAGGAACTGGAAAAGTACCCAGGTGAGCGACTCCGCCGCTTGAGCCTGGGATCCGGAGTCTGCAGGGATTAGAGAGCAGCAGGGCTCAGGTGCTGAAAGAGAATGCCTTAGCTGCGCAGCTCCACTGGCCTCCTTTTTGGAGCCTGACTCTCTGACAGTCAAATTTATATTCTGTGAAGCTACAGACAAAAATCTGCATACTTAAGTGTACACACAGAATTTTAGATACGGACTTAAAATTGTTTATGTATCCAACATGTTGAAGGATTCAGTACCTAACAAGAAAATTCTATTCGAGAGTGGAACAGCTGTTAACGTTTTATGACAACTCTTCGCTTCTGGGCCCTCCTTTTCTAGGGGCAGTGCTGTCCCAGAGCAACCGGACGTGAGCCACAGATGTAATTTTAAGTTTTCTAGTGGCTGCATTTAAAAATTTTAAAAGAAACAGTTGAAAGTTCATTTAATAATCTATTTTATTTCACTCAATATAGCTAAAACATCATTTAACATAATCAAAAATTATTAATGAATTATTTTTATACTAGAGGCCCAGTGCAAGAAATTTGTAATGTGTTGTACACTTACAGCACATTTCAGTCCAGATTAGCTGCCTTTCAAGGGCTCAATAGCCACATGTAGCTAGTGGCTTCCATATGGGGGACAGCTCAGCCCTAAAATCACGTGTCATGATCAAAAACCCAAAGAGATTACCGGAATTATTTATGTGTATATCAGCCCTTACTGCACCCCAACACCAGAGAACTTCAGTTAGAGTTATTCTGAAAGGAATCAGAAGAGAAAATTGAAAGAAATCAAAACAGAACAGGTTACGTGATCAAACACAAATTAGGTCATTGAACTATTTAACTGAATTAGACGATGTTGAAGTATCACTCCAACAGCTCAAAGTAGCGCGATTGCGCAGAAAAAGCACAAAGGGGAAAGGAGTCTTCCTGAAACTCGATTCCAGTCTTCCCTTTCTTTCTTTGTTCATGTCTTATTTCCTAGACCCAAAAGAGAATAATAAAATAACCCGTATATTGTTTTTAAAAAATAACAATAACGAGAGCTGCTTTCCTTAAGAGAACGTTTAGATTTCTCTAGTAACTACAGACCCCACACCTGCTCTTTCAAGGCCAGATCTTTTCTCTGGCTTCTCATTTCTTCTTACAGTTTAGGCCAGAAATAAGTGATGATACCCTTGACCAACAAAGTCATTTAAATAAATAATGGAATTGACATAAAAATAAAGCTCACAAATAGAAACAACCTTTCCCACAGCCCTGCCATTCCCCCTCACCCCCTCCCCCCCCCTCCCCCCCGCACGCACACACACACACACACACACACACACACACACGATTCAGAATTTCTGTAGTAGGGACTCAACCACTGGGGGAAAGAAGGGGCTAAAATAGCCGGCATTCAGTTATTACTATTTGCTTACTGAGAAGCATCTGACGTAGATCATTTAATACTTCACTGTAAGTCATTACTCAGAAACACCTTTATTAATCAATTCAGAGAATGGCGAGACAGGAAGAGAGCCAGGGAAGCGTGTTATTGGGAGGTCCAGTTGGGAAGGACTTGAAGGTTTTTCCTAATGAGATTCTTAAGACCCTACTAATGATCAACAATCCTATGAAGCCTAACTGGGCAGATACTGCAGTCTTCACACTTCCAAACAGCTGAATCTCCGAGGCTAGATGTTTTTTATGGGTATAGGGAAATGGTGTCTTCTGTTTCATTTTTCAGGTATTCAAACGCGGGTCCTTGATGTCACAAAGAAGAAACAAATTGATCAGTTTGCCAATGAAGTCGAGAGAGTTGATGTTCTCTTTAATGTTGCTGGGTAATTCAGAACTTTTTCATCTCACTCTTCTAATAGAAAGTTTCCTATGACTTTTATTAAAAGAATTTTGATAATATGGCCAAATTATTTATCATGAGCCACAATATAGTCCTTGAAAATACGACTTGATTTTGGACAGAATTTTTATTGCAAGTAAGACAGCTGTGGGAGTTAACATGGGTTTGGGGCCTAAAGGCAATTAAGGTCTATTCAAGACAACTGGTACTAATCAAAAGGTATTGACCTTCTTTAGGCTGGTGACAGGCTCACACCAATGGACTTGTCACTGATGTCCCACTAGGATTTATAAAATAAAATGAAAAACTGTTCTCCAGTAGAGCGTCTTTAAAATTAAGTATATTCTTAGAAGCCAAGTACTCAGTGTATTGAAATGCAGACATTCCCAATTTTTTGACATAACATTCTAGCAAGTCCTTTATACTATGCCAAGCTCAGTGGTTCTTACTAGGACAGTGAATCCCAGGAAAAGAAGTTTCATGCTGTACCTTTGTATGCAGCGCAGAAGGAATTCATGAAACTTGTTAGGGTGGTCCCTAACTTGCCGGACCACACGTGCATGATGAGACTGGAATTGGAGCAGCTACATGTCGATGCAGTGACTGCCAACACTGTCCTCTCTCAGGTGTGACAGTAGCAATGAGTACAATTGAGGCTTACACAGAAACTGCGTTGATACATTCTGAAATTTCACTTTTCTTATGTAGAGTCATATTTGTATTGCTGGCTTGATAGAATAATCCTAGAACCTCCTGATATATATTTGTGTTTCTTCCAAACCATGTTTCAGACCCAGGCAGGGTGGGGAAGAGGGGACCTCGATCTATCCATAGTTTAATCATGTGTTACCATGTATGGAAATTAAGTTAAAGCAGCAGTTTGTGATTATTTATTTTGTGGACAACCTGCTCATCCCTCATGTAAGAATATACCCAGAGCCATAAAAAACAAATCAACTAGAAAAATTAGTTTCTGAGAATTTATTAAACTTTCAGCTGAGTAAGGGGTATTGAGATAGAGCATGTGGTTCTTTCTGTCATTCTACTTAATTGGAAGTACAGTCACACCAATAATATTTTATCATTAATTACATAATTTTGGTCTAGGGGACAGTGACATCACTTAGGACCCCAGTTTTTACAACGCTCCCTGAAGGAAGTCTGACTTGCAAAAGAGTGATGTTACTTTAAGGTTTTTGGTTTGTTCCACTCTGTTTACTCCGTATGTTAGACAAAGTGATAATACTTTGCTGCCTGGAGATATTTTCCTTGCAATTTTGATTTCCCTTGAGAATGTTAAATCTGTGCCACCAGGGGGCACTGTGCCCTTGAAAGGGGAGTCAGGGCAGGTGTGACGTTCTCATTTATGTTTGTTTTCCGTGTTTCCTGTGCTGTGGTAAAGAGCTTCTTATGCTTGATGGCCCCAAACTCTCGCCTTCTTCTTTCAAAAGAAGGATATTGTTTTCAAATATTGTTGGGATACCTACTAACCTAGTGTACTACGTGATAGTATGTTTGATATGTTAAAAATCTTGGTTAGGGAAGGGACAATGGTCTAAGTCAATAAATGACAATAAAGATGATAAGGAAATTGAATAGAAATATTTTTAATTGATTGATCATTTCCCCCATTGTGTAATCACTGTTCCAGTTTTGTGCATCACGGAACCATCCTGGACTGTGAAGAGAAAGACTGGGACTTCTCAATGAATCTCAACGTCCGCAGCATGTACCTGATGATCAAGGCATTTCTTCCCAAAGTAAGACAATCCGCTAGGGGAGGCACCACTGGATAAGTAGGTCTCCTCGCGGGCATCTAGAAAGGACCCCCACAGGTGCTAAGGAGTGATAATAGCTGACATAATGACTAACCTGTATTGAACGTTTATATCAAGGCACTTAATATAAACCAGCTCACCCAGTTCATCCATTCAAGGAATGTTAAGCACTTTCTACATGCCAGGCTCCATTCTAGGTGCAGAAGAGAACAAGACAAAGTCCCTCTGTAAGGGAGGTCCCATTTTTTCGAGGGCTCATGAGGCAGGCTAATATGTAATCAAATAAACATACATCATGTGGGTGGTTATAAGTGCTCTGAAGAAAGAGAAGTGAGGCCCACTTAGGAATCTTGGGAGAGGGCTCCTTGAAGAGGGACAGCAAGGAGCACACTGGCCAGAACTGGTCTGATGAGTGGGCACCAGCTTACCACATCCGCGGTGCAGAGATTAAACAGGAGGCTGGGGAACTTGCCCAAGGTCACGTCCCTGGCAAGTTGTTAGAACCAGGATCGGAACCCTGGAAGCTAGTCCCCTTCTTGAATTTCAGTGTCTAGGCACATGCCTTCAAGATGGATGTACCCATTGCTTTTCTGTACTCTGAGTGTTCTCCCAGCACTCCTGTTGTTAGCTAGGCCAGTGGTCGGCAAACTGCAGCCCCTTGAGTGTGGCTCTTCCACAAAATACCACGTGCGGGCGTGCACGTACAGTGCAATTGAAACTTCGTGGCCACACTCAAGGGGCCAAAGAACCGCATGTGGCTCATGAGCCGCAGTTTGCCGACCACTGAGCTAGGCCACAGAGGTACCAGAGAGGTCAGAGACATTGCATGCTAAGACAGTGATCTTCCTGTGTCTGCTACCCTTGAATTCTCCAGCCTTCACAACTCATCAACATTCTTAATTTTATTTTACAATTAGTAAGTACCTTTTGATAGAAAGCACCACACTAGGTGCTCTGGGGGAGGGAGGTGTAAATATGAATAGCACTGACTTGAATGAGCTTATAAATCAATAGTCGCAGACAGCACAGGCTCAGACAATGGAAGGGATTGACGAGTGCAGAACCAGCCCAGTTCAGGATTGTAAACTGAACCCTCGAGAAATGCAGAAGAGCCCTTCTCTCCGCCCAGCTGGATTAGATGACGGACATACTGAATGCTGCCCAGCCCAGGTCTGGAGAGCTTTTCAGTGACAGGGCACGGCTGGTACTTTGCTCTGAATATTCAGTCTGATGTCAGGAAGCATCCAGATAGATTTTAAAAGGAAAATTAGGACAATTAACTTAGTAACAAAGGAATTTTTTTAAATCTTTTTTATTTTTTATTGATTTTTTACAGAGAGGAAGGGAGAGAGATAGAGAGTTAGAAACATCGATCAGCTGCCTCCTGCACACCCCCCACTGGGGATGTGCCCGCAACCAAGGTACATGCCCTTGACTGGAATCGAACCTGGGACCTTTCAGTCCGCAGGCCGACGCTCTATCCACTGAGCCAAACCGGTCCCGGCAACAAAGGAATTTTTTAAATCTACTTGTTGAGAGCCTAGAATGGATTTTTGGTTAGATAAGGGGAAAGCTTAGGGAACAATGGGCAAGGCGGTCACACTGTATGGAACTCGTTTGTAAAACCAGCCAGCTGTCAGGAAAGCTTTACAAATATCAGTGAAGGAAGCAGGTGTGAGTGCAGTGAAGCTGAAATTTAAATATGTACATAAGAGTTAACTGAAAATATCAAACACTAACTTGTAAGTTAATGAGTTTGTTTATGATTGAAAACGTAGAGAGTTTGTATCCACAAAACATTTTAACAATAATCCACATGAGCCAATACACTCATTTGTTTTTTTGTTTTTTTTTTAAATTAAATCTTTATTGTTCTGATTACATTTTTCCTCTTTTTTTCCCATAACTCCCCTTCTCCCAGTTCCCGCCCCACCCTCCGCCCTCACTCCCCACCCACTGTCCTCATCCATAGGTGCACGATTTTTGTCCATTCTCTTCCCGCATCTCCCATTCCCCTTCCCCCCCCCTCAAGAATAGTCAGTCCATTCCCCTTCTATGTCCCTGATTCATTGTAATCACCAGTTCATTCTGTACATCAGATTATTTATTCACTTGATTCTTAGATTCACTTGTTGATAGATGCATGTTTGTTGTTCACAATTTGTATCTTTACCTTTTTCTTCTTCCTCTTCTTAAAGGAAACCTTTCAGCATTTCGTATAATACTGGTTTAGTGGTGATGAAGTCCTTTAGCTTTTCCTTATCTGTGAAGCTCTTTATCTGACCTTCAATTCTGAATGATAGCTTTGCTGGATAAAGTAATCTTGGTTGTAGGTTCTTGGTATTCAGTACTTTGAATATTTCTTGCCATTCCCTTCTGGCCTGCAAAGTTTCTGTTGAGAAATCAGCTGACAGTCGTATGGGTATTCCCTTGTACGTAACTGAGTCTCTTTCTCTTGCTGCTTTTAAGATTCTCTCTTTGTCTTTTGCTCTTGGCATTTTAATGATGATGTGTCTTGGTGTGGTCCTCTTTGGATTCCTTTTGTTTGGGGTTCTCTGCGCTTCTTGGACCTGTAAGTCCATTTCTTTCACCAGGTGGGGGAAGTTTTCTGCCATTATTTCTTCAAATAGGTTTTCAATATCTTGCTGTCTCTCATCTTCTGGCACCCCTATTATTCTGATATTAGTGCGCTTGAAGCTGTCCCAGAGGCTCCTTACACTATCTTCGTATTTTCGGATTCTTTTTTCATTTTGCTTTTCTGGTTGGGTGTTTTTTGCTTCTTTGTATTTCAAATCTTTGACTTGATTCTTGTGCTCCTCTGGTCTGCTATTGGGTATAATATTCTTTATTTCAGTCCGTGTATGCTTAATTTCTAGTTTCTTTATCGTAGCATCGAGGGTCTCATTAGTTTTCGTGAGGCTCTCCTCGAGTTTTTTGCAAACCCTCAAAATTGCGATTTTTAGCTCCATATCCTCCATTTCTGTCATGTTTTTTTGTCTCTGCATTTTTTATGCCTTCTTGGTGCACCCCCTTGTGGTCTTTGTGCGCAGTCTTGTTCTAGTTAAGCCCAGATTGTTGTAGTTAATACTAGAGGGATTTGACCACCAGGCTGACTGGCTGCGAGAATCAGCTGTGTGGAAAACTTCTGTCCTCTGGGAGGTGCTAATCTAGCCTTTGCCTGAGGCGATCCGGCAAATGGCTCTGCGCAGGGCTTGGGCGGGGCGGGATCAACAGGGCGGGCGGAGGGAGCAGTTATGGCCGCTCTCAGTCCCGTTCCCAGAGGCTCTGCTTCTCAGAACCCCGGCAGCTGCTGCAAACCTCGGAGAGAAAGCTGCCCTCAGGTTCCAACTGATGCCGGATAATCCCGCTTCTCCCGTTTGAGTCTGGGTCCCTAGAGACTCGCCCGGATCTGGAGCCCAGAGTCTGAGACTCACTCCCGACCGAAAACGACAACCGCGCTATCAGCCACCAGCCCGCTTTCGCGCGCACCTCGGTACCTTTGTATTTTCCACACTGCGCCTCCTCTGAGCCTCCTCTGCGTTGTCTTTCCTTCTAGTTGTAGAGTCTCTCTTCAGCCAACCTTCCTGTGATTCTGGGTGATGTCCGTTCCGTCTTTTAGTTGTATTTTTGAAATGGTTGTTTGCGGCAGCAGTCTCCGGTGTTTACCTACGCCGCCATCTTGGTCGAGATCCAGAGATTCTCATTTGTTAAAAAAAAAAAATCCCAAGAGATATTAATGACTTGGACAGGGAATCAGGACTCAGTGCCACTTATTACATCTGACCCTGGCCCCTGGCCTCAGAAGGCCTCAGGTACTGCCTAAGCCAGGGGTGGGCAAACTTTTTGACTCGAGGGCCACAATGGGTTCTTAAACTGGACCGAGGGCCGGAACAAAAGCATGGATGGAGTGTTTGTGTGAACTAATATAAATTCAAAGTAAACATCATTACATAAAAGGGTACGGTCTTTTTTTTTTTTAGTTTTATTCATTTCAAACGGGCCGGATCCGGCCCGCGGGCCGTAGTTTGCCCACGGCTGGCCTAAGCTCTGCCCCTAAGTCACCATGTGAGCTGGGAGATGGCACTTGCTCCCTTTTAGGATCTATTTTTTTTTTAATGAGGGTAATAGGCTACCCAGTCCCTTCCAGGCCGAATTGTCTAGGACCCTCTGTGTTCATTAACCATGGTGCACGTATACCAGGTCGGAACTTTCCGGGGAGCCCAGGATTGAAGTGTAGGCAGATCTGAAATGTCAGATGGTCAAAACAGAGGAACCCTTGTAGGAAATGTTTGTTCATGGGTAGGTAACAGGAAATCATTCCACAACTGGAGGATCAGTCAAATGGCACAGAACAAGTTGAAAATGCTGTAAGGAGATCAGTGCAGAATCCAAGGTCCACTATGGAATGGAAAAGAAAACCCATGATGGCAAGAGTTCTGGTCGGTCTTAGGTGTGTGGGGGTTCCAACCACTCACTGTATCTTAGAAGAGCCCCTACCACATGGAGGTGCTTAGAAAACACTTGTTGAATGAATATGTGTATCTAGGTTGTCAATCCAGGTGGAGGTCAGGCATGGAGTCACTGAAGATCCAGAAGCCAATGTCTGCCTCGTTTAGGAGCTGAGCTCTGGTCAGTGGGAACAGGAGGGCTGGGTCAGAGTAGGATGAAACTAGAGGGAATCTTTAGAGATCTTTCTAGCCCCTGCCCGAGTTTCAGGGACATCAGTCCTACGTAGCATTACTACGTACCAGGCACTTCTCTTTATAGTTGTCCTTGCCAGAGAGCATGGTTGCATAGGGTGCCAGGAAGAGCGTTCACACAATGACAGCAGGTACCAAGCTGGTGTTAAGAAGGCAGAGTAGAAGGAGGCAAGGACTATGGGCTCTAGAATCAGCAGAGAAACCTGGGTTGAATGGGTAGTACAGGTGATAGAGGGCGGCACCACCATCTCCTAAAGTTTGGCCTGAGTTATTATTGCATTTCAGAAGATTGGAGAATGAACTCACTTAGTAGCCCATCTTTATGTATTAAATTGGGCTATATGTATTCTATATGCATTTAAAACGGGTTCTATAAGACAAGGATAGCTCAATAAAACTGGAAAATATAAATAAATAAAAATGGGCTATGCTATTTGCTAAATTTAATGAGAAAGAATAATTTTAAGGCTTGGTTTTCAGCATGATTATGCTGTACTAACCATCCAGGGGTGTTCCTGAGGACCCCATTTCATTATGGTATTCTTTATTATATAAGTTGGGGTAAATTTTTCCCCTGCCGTTTTCCTTGACTTAGTTGGGTCACCTCAGCCTCTCCTGTGTCCTGCTAGTCCAGGGGTGGGCAAACTTTTTGACTCGAGGGACACAATGGGTTCTTAAACTGGACCGGAGGGCCGGAACAAAAGCATGGATGGAGTGTTTGTGTGAACTAATATAAATTCAAAGTAAACATCATTACATAAAAGGGTACTGTCTTTTTTTTTTTTTTAGTTTTATTCATTTCAAACGGGCCAGATCCGGCCCGAGGGCCGTAGTTTGCCCACGACTGTCAGCTAGTCCATCCAGCACAATGCCTTAGGGTTGTTTTAGAATCTCCTTTTAGATACAATTAGTAGCTAAGTATCAAAATAGGAAGTAAGAACACCATAGGGAATGTATAAGCTTGCAGCCTCACCCCTGGATGCATCCACTCATTCACCTTCACCGGTCCTACACCTCTTTGTCTGAAAGCTGCTGGAGAAACTCACCCCAGTAGAAACTTTTCATTGATTTTCATGATGTAGAACATACTGGTTTTTTTCCTTCTGTTCTCTAGTTGGTTCTTCCATTTCCCCCGACAGTTATGTTAACTCTTCACCCCACTCTTGTCCACCATGTCCCCTGGTTGCTTGTGGCCATTTTCCTGGCCTCTCAGCTTTCAGTGAGAAGTTAGTGCCCGGGAGGCAGAAATGCTCCCCACCTCTTACTTCTCCCCCCAAAACATTCATGGGCACCATGCCCTTGCACATACATGTATTATCTTGAAAACACACACATATATGTTATAATAAATAAAGTTCATTTGAAAACGTTGTAACTCATAGCAGCTTATTTCATTAGATATTCCATTAGGTCTGGGGTTGAGCCCAGTAATCTGCACTTTATTTTGATTCATCAAAATGTATTGACCACCTATGGTGTCCTCTGTCTAGAACAGCGGTTCTCAACCTGTGGGTCGCGACCCCTTTGGGGGTCGAACGACCCTTTCACAGGGGTCACCTAAGACCATTGGAAAACACATATATAATTACATATTGTTTACAGTAGCAAAATTACAGTTATGAAGTAGCAACGAAAATAATTTTATGGTTGGGGGTCACCACAACATGAGGAACTGTATTAAAGGGAACTGCATTAGGAAGCTTGAGAACCACTGATCTAGAAGGACAGGACAGCCAGAGACCCTCCTCTCATTGAGTTCACTCGTTAGTGGAGGAATTCTGAGGGAGGTGATCTTCACAGCTCTAGGTGGGGAGGCAGCCCTCACTGCACGTAACCATTCACCAAGTCCTGCCCTTACTGCCTCAGCTACCTCTTACCCACTGACAGCTCTGCATCTCTGCTTTATCCCCCTTTCCTAAATCACTACCCCTGCTTCCAGGGGTCTCCTCTACAGGATATCAGAGTCGTCTCCGTAACCCCCACGTCTGAACATACCTCTCCTCTGCACTAAACCTTCCTTCTCACCACTGCTGTGCCTTCAGGGTAAAGTCCAAATTCCTACATTCAACCCCACATGGCCTCTGAGCCTCACTGCTTCCACACCCTGCATTGCAGCCAGACCCATCCCTGCCTCCCAGCTCTGCGATGGAGCCTTTCTGCACAGGGTTCTCTCTCCTTCAAACAGCCTTCTCTTCGATTTTTCTGACTAACACTGGTTTTCAAAAATTAACCCACATATTTCTTCCTCAAGAGCCTCTTTTGGGTGGCCCGCACCTGGATTGGTCCCTTCTCACCCCCACCCCCCTTCTCTGTGAAGGTTGCTGCTGTCCTGGGTGCTGATTAAGTCAGCCGTTCCAAGCAGACTGGCAGCTGTCTGCAGGCAGGGACTGTCATTGACCTTTCCGTCTCTTAGACCTAGCACCATACCCTACCACAGTAGGTATTCAGCAGATACTGTGGTGAATGAAGGCGAGAGCTTTCCAACATCAGGACACACAGTAAGGATTACCCTTCTTTTCCTTCCATTCAGCTCAGTTCATTCTTGGTCTGGCTGATGCTCTTGAGCCACCGCAAGGCGGTGGGTAATCCCCCTGGGAACTGTCCCTGCCAGCCAGCACAGGGCGTCAACTCCCAGCAGTGATTGGGTTAGACTCTTAAGAGTGCTTAACTGCACTTAGTGTTAATAGCTAATAAGATGGATCTGCAAATCCTAAGTAAATGCACATCTTCTAAAGAGGCAGTATTTTTAGCCTGCGGAGTAGCATTTTTTTTAAAATTTGTTTTGTTTTGGCAGATGCTTGCTCAGAAATCTGGCAACATTATCAACATGTCCTCTGTGGCTTCCAGCATCAAAGGTAGGTCTGTCTCCTGGGGTCACGATGCACAAAGCCACTCACCTCCCTGAGCTGAGGGAAGGAACACAGCAAAACCCATAAAAGCCACACGTCACTTCAAAACTGCCTTTTAAAACTGGTCTTAAGTTCCTTCACTTCCAGGCCCTTTGCCTTAGATGTGAACCAGTCATAAAATTAAATAAAACTTTTTTTTTGTTTTGCCCTCCTTTTATCTCTTCTAATGGAAAATCAGGAAAGGGAAGAGGAAATCAAGAGGGAGAAGAAAACATTTCCGCATTTAATTAATAATAATAAAAAAATGTGTTGTCTTGACCAGGTGGCTCAGTTGGTCAGAGTGTCATCCTTTGCACCAAAAGGTTGCGGGTTTGATTCCCGGACAGTGTGCTTATGGGAGGCAACCGATTGATGTTTCTCTCCCACATCAATGTTTCTCTCCCTTCCTCTCTCTAAAACATATCTTCAGGTGAGGAATTTTTTTAAATGAACACCCACTATGTGCCCCTGCACCAGAAGAATTCACAGTCCTAAAGGGGTGTCAGGCAATCTCACGTCTTCCACAGTGTGAGAGGATTATAACAGAGCTTTGTGCAAAGTGCTGCCCCATCACTAGGGAGCTAACTGCCTGTGGATACGAGGAGGGATTCGCGGGGACAGCTGATCTGGGCCCTGAATGAGGAGTCAAGTTGAAGAGCAGGATTGCAGTGCAAGCTGGAGATAAGGCCACAGCCTGGCACAGATGGGTTTGCAGGTTTAAAAGGAAATAGCTGCTGCTGAGATAGCATCCTTCTCTGTGCAAGGATGCACACGTTAAACCTACACAAGAGAGGAATGCAAAGACATGCCTGGGCCTCTTGGTTTTGTTTTGTTGTGGGGTTTTTTTTTTCTTTTCTTTACCCTGACTCTCTTTTGGAATCTGCCTAAGGGGTCCACCAACTGATGATGAGAAACGAAGACCGCTCTAGTTAGTCACTTAAGTGCAGCTTGTCAACACCTAAGTCTCAGTTGAATTGTGCCAATAATGATATTATTTTCCCACTTTCAGAAACTAGCCCTATTAAGGGGGAAAACCTGGTAATTTTTTAAAGGGTGGGGTGAGGGAGCATGACCGTGGTTGCTGGGGACACTTACTTGTGCTCCCTTTCTAAAGGAGGCTATGTTTCTTATTCCTTCCATTGCTGAGCCCTCCCTTCCCCCAGGAGTCGTGAACAGATGTGTGTACAGCACCACCAAGGCCGCTGTGATTGGCCTCACGAAGGCGGTGGCTGCAGACTTCATCCAGCAGGGTATCAGGTGCAACTGTGTGTGTCCAGGTGAGTTTCACACTAAAGGCCCGTGAACCTGTCCTATCTGACTTCCTGGCTGCCACTGTGAAAGATATCTACATAAGCTTGTTTACTCCGTGTTTCATTGTCTCCTGTCATCGGGAAAAGTTCAAAAGGAAAGGGCGAGGCTTGTTAGGATAATTGGGAATGAGAGGCTAAGTCATTAGGAATAAGCCACAGAGGCAAAGGGTTTAATGTTATTTATCTGCATGGGGCAACTCCAAACCACGTGGTGAGAGACAGCACGGGCCAGGGCGTGGTGTCTTGGAAGCAGACCAGGATGACCTCGTCGGGCAAAGAGGAAAAGAAGACCTTACTGACAGGACAGCAGGAAGGAGGGAGAAGAGCCTCCCAGAAGACAGGGAGCTGCTGGGTCATGTGAACCACCTGGGGAGGCCCATAAATGAACACCTTTCTTTAGGCTATAACAGGGGGTCAGCAAATGATGGCCTACAGACCAAATCCGGCCACCACCTGTTTTGTAAATACGGATTAATGGGAGCACATCCACACCCTGCTTATGTGTTGGCTGAGGCTGCTCCCACGCTATAAGCAGAGTTGAATAGTTAAAGCACACCAAATGTTCCTCAAAGCTCAACATATTCCCTATCTGGCTTTTTACCAGAAAGTATGTTGACTCTCCTATAAAGGAAAGGAGAAAGGAGAAATTCATTATTAGTAGAAAGAACATTCAATTTGTCCAAACAAAAGCATTCAATAACTTATTTCTTGATAAAAACGTCCCCTTCTCTTAATAACCGTGGGCGTGTCGGTTAAGTAGCTATGCCCTTTCACCTGGCTCCACCCACCCCGAAATGAATGCAAGGTGCCTGAGAACAATTATTAACTTCCTCTCTGGAAAGCAATTAAATAATGCCTGTCCTGGATCAGAGTTTCTCTCAGTAGTTCACAACAGGTATTGAGGAGTTGGGGAGAAGTATAATTCACAGTTACCTGTGGGACCTTTCAAAAACCTGAAGGGCCTGCTGGAATTTGGGGAGTGAGGGGGGAAACTGTGTGTATGGTACGGACATAACTTGGAGGTATTACGGGTTCAGTTCCAGACCACCGCAATAAAGCAAGTACCTCAATAAAGCTAGTATCGCAATAAAGCAAGTCATAATCTTTTTGCTGGCAAAAGGGTCTTGTGTTCAATTTATAAAAGGCTCAATGGGTGTGAAACACAATAAAGGGAAACACAATAAAACAAGGTATGCCTGTGATTAGAAAGCCCCACAGGAGATTTTGATGTAATCCATCAGGGTCTCCCCTCAGGTTGAAAACCACTGACTTATTAGTTAAAACTACTAAATACCCTGCAAATTACAGAATTTCCATGATTGAGGTGTTCTGCTTGATTTTTCGTAGACTAGAAAAGTGAACATAGCCCTGGCCAGTGCTCAGTGGTTAAAGCATCAGCTCATGGACTGAAGGGTCACAGGTGCAATTCCTGGTCAAGAGCACGTACCTAAGTTGCACGTTTGATCCCCAGCCCCAGTCAGGGTACATTTGGGAGGCAGCTAATCAATGTGTCTCTCTTGCATCTCAGTTTCTCTCTCTCTCTCATTCCCTTCCACTCTCTCTAGGAATCAATGGGAAAAGTATCCTCTGATAAGGATTTTTAAAAAAGGTAAACATAGGTAACACTAAGAAAAGGAGGATTTTGATAATTTTTAACACATACTGGTGAAACTTAGGTACAGCTATTCTTGGTGCTATTTACCCAATGGAACAAATGGCAAAATGATTTGGAAAATATGGTTGTTTTAGCAGCTGGACTTTTCAGGAGACTGGAAAATATGTTATCAAACTCTTTGGAACAAGGAACCAGCCGTGACTCACCGAGCCGGTCACAGGAGAAAACCTGACTAGGAATGGTTGTGTCTGGGGTGACACTGGTGGTTGTATAGTCACAGCACTTCAGCTGCGGACTTGTGTAGACTGTGGCGTGGGTGGTGGTCTGTGCCATGGGCACAGCAGAGTCCAGTGGCAATGAATGAAGTGGAAGGCATAGGCTTGCTCCACAGTTTTCAGGTAATAGCCATTCAGACCAGCCACGTGTAGGGTCTGACGCTCATTTGCCTCGGTGGAGGGAAGTGGCTAAAGCTGTAAGGATTTTGAAGAGAGTGTACAGTGAACGTGTTAGGGGCTATGAGCACACTGTTGGTAGAATGTTGTACTGTGAGGAGGCTGTTGATGAGGGGGCGAGGGAAACACTATTGGAAACTGATACAAGCTATGTGGTTCAGAAAGTTTATCAACACTATTCCCCGCAGTAACGTGAGGTAGAAAACATCCCTAATGAACTGGGTGATCGAGCAAAGGCTATTTCCACCTGGAATGTTCAAAAGTGCTGCCCACTTACAGTAAAATGTGAGGATAGACTAGAGAAGCTAAAGAAAGGGCTGTTCCACAAAAAAAGAGCCAGGATTTGCTACTCTGAAGATTCCCAGCCTCTCCAGAGAAATGGCAAATAATGACAAAATTAAGAAATGGTTTCCAAGCAACATCAAATCTATAGCATTCCCAGGAGCATGGTCTAAAGATGAAGCTGCAGATAGGACTGTGAAGTCATTTATGACCTTAGGAAGGTCATGTGGTCCCCGGAGTACGCTCAGTCAGAAGAAGAAAAAACAGCCCTCTCGAGAGAACTGCCAGACTATGTGAGTGAACAGAAAGTCTGGAAACATGCTCTAAGTGGGATTTAAAACTTCAGTGTCATTCATTTTTTTAAGCGAAATAATTTCAAATTACGTTTTTTATGAGAGTGCTTAAAAATAGGAATTTGAAACCAATGAAAATAGGCAAGAGAACGAGGAAAATGAGAACCACCTAAGTTACTGGGACGATGACAGTCACAGACTTGGCCCCGCGGTCCCCGGAGGAACCCGACAGCAGGGATGGTTTGAGGGCATTCAGGCAGTCTGGATCCTTGTGCTGGGAAAGCACTTCGATGATTGTATTCACATCTCAGGATGGTTGTGAGGATTAACTGAGATAATACATGTAAAAGTGCTTCAAATCCATAAAGGGTCATGTTAACATAATGTGACTAAAATCTATATCTTGGGAATGCTGGGTGATTCACCCAGAGTCCCTGTCTAGTGTCACAAAGGACTATATAGTCTGTGTTTTAGAAAGTCATAGAAATGTCACTAAAGAAATTATAAGCCTACCTCATAGAATGGCTGGCAGGTAGATGTGAAATTGTCATTCTAAGTCGTGGAGAAGGCTTTCACTGATTGTCCTATCATATGGGAAGGGAGTTTAAGTGTCAATTTCTTTTTTCAGTTAAACCAACTAACCAAGCTGAATGTCCCTGTTTGATTTAGGAACTGTGGATACCCCATCTCTGCAAGAAAGAATACAAGCCCGGCCAAATCCTGAAGAGGTATATCTACTCTCCTAAACGTGTTTAAATCTTCCGGTTAGAAAACGCCCTCTTCCTTACCTAGAGTAGACAAATTCATAGAAGCCGAAAGTAGAATGGTGGTTGCGGGGCGCTGAGGGCATGGGAATGGGGAGTTGTTTACTGGGTGCGGAGTTTCAGTCCTGCAAGATGAAAAGAGCTCTGGAGGTGGGTTGCACAACAGTGTGAGTGTCCTTAGCACCACTGAACTGTGATGGTGAAGATGGCAGATATCCCACCAAGTGTATTTTACTACAACTTTAGAAAAGCTCCCTTCTTTACTATGAACTTTCTGATTTGTCACGGTGTCTATAGTGTAACAAAATAGTTTGAATAGCTAGGAAGTCACCATAGCTCTGCTTGGTTTGCTTAGTCCACAATTAATGATATTAATATTCTCAGATATTATGCATCATATATGATCAAGCCTAGAAGCCAGTGGTACGTCTGTAGATTCAGCTTGCCTTTGATTCCCAGGAGGAATTGCAGGTGAGTTCATACTTCAGCTCTGGTCACTGATGTTTGGCATGGTTTCTGGTCACAGGCACTGAGCGATTTTCTGAAGAGACAGAAGACTGGAAGGTTTGCAACTGCAGAAGAAATAGCCCTGCTGTGCGTGTATTTGGCTTCCGATGAAGTAAGCACTGCTCTTTGCAAGGGGTTCATTATCTTAATCATATTTGGCCAATATTTGCTAAAAAAAATATGTTGTCTTAGAGAGTAATGGGCATATACATGCTAAGATGCTGCGGTTACTAGATAGGGATCCGTTCTGATTTCATTTGCTCAAAGAAAGGCCACTTTGATTTGAGCTGCCGACTTTTCCTCATTCCGCTTTACATGTTACTAAATCTTGTAGTAAATGAAATAGAGGAGTGAAAAAACATCGCTCAAGTTTTACAGAGACAGTTGCTTTCAAAAATTGCAGTTGGGGAAACCCTGTTTAAGTGTGAGTCAAGCAAATGAGCCTCCAAAATTCTGAGCGCTTCAGGTGAAGCAGGGAGAAGATTCATCAGATTTCATTGTATGTGGCAAGCACAGAATTGGTGTTTTTAGTTTTACCAGTGCCTTTATTTAGCAGAGTCCCACTGGCTCTTTTTTCCTATGAATTCATACTTGCCATCATGTATGCAAATTCCTAATTCTGTCTCTTTCCACTTAGCACCTACTTAGGAGCCAGTTTCTTCTTTAACAGCTATTGTCTGTTTTTAAATGGCATCCTCCTGCAAAAGCAGAAACTATATTTATAAGGTGTAGAGCACAAGAACATCCCTCTCTGCTTTATGGCTTTGAATGTTACATGACCAGGGCACCACAATGTATGAAAAGAGACAAGGATAGGGAAGTGCATAGGCAGGAGTGAGGAGGTGTGTTACTCACCAGTTAGTTCCTCTTTACAGGAACTCGGTGAGGCACACCAGTGGTTGGTGAATATGACCAATACAGGATTTGAAGTGTTTTGGTGACAGAGCAGTTACTACTTCTTAGAACTATTAACAACAGTTAATAACTGGGGAACTTGCTAGACAAAATACTAATGAAGCAAGTATGTTGGCCTTTGTGCTGTCTCTGAATGCATGTCTTTGGAAGAGCCCATTTGACTTGGGGGTACAGCTGACTAGTTAAGTTGCCTTTGTTTATCCAGAGTTTAGGTTATTACATATTTGGAAATGTTCTGGCTTGAAATGTGCAACGAAAGGACCTTTAGCCTTTTAAAGGGGCCCAGAGGAGTACATATGTGTAACAGAGAGCTTGCCTTATAAAAATACTTGGGAAGGGGGGGATGTCATTTTTTGGTAAAGTGATTAGTATCCCTCCTAGTTTATCTACATTATATGATCAGTTTTCATAGAATAAACTTTAAAGATTTCTGTACTTGTGTCTTTTCTTCTTCCCTCTTCCCTCTTCCATTGTCTTAGGCTTTAGGAAAATTTAAAACTAAGAACACAGATTTTAATCTTTATTATCCATGTTTAAGTTAAAAGAGATTTTTTAAACCTCTACCACAAGAAATCATTTTACCTTTCATAATTTGGAAAATGAGAAATTCTGTGGAAAAAAAATGTTATTTGTTTTAACTCCTTTAGCACTGATTTGTATCTAAAATAAGCATCAAATTTTTTCATAGTTTAATAGATTATAATAATAATTACAGTATCTTCATTCAAATTTTTCAAATATATGTAGTCTGCTTCAGATCCTGGAATTGCCTTTATATATTGATCAACTATACTGGTATATACAATATCTTTTTAAAAAATTTTTGTTTGATAATTGACATGACCACTTTATGACCGACACACCTGATTATATTCAAAATTTATCAATGGCACCAAATTCAGCTCATTTAGAATAGTTCTGAGTTTCGAAATGCAAATGTAATGTTCTAGCCTAGACTTTATCCTAATTTCGGGAATGACTATATGTCACCTAACTTTGGTTTTTGTTAATCCTCACCCAAGTATATTTTTCCCATTGAATTTTAGAGAGAGTGGAAAGGAGAGAGGGAAATGGGAGAGAGAAAGACACAGACAGACAGACATCAATGTGAGAGAGATATATTGGTTGATTGCCTCCCGCACATGCCTCTGACTGGAGCCAGGGATCTAATCCGTAACTCTTTTTTTTTTGTTCTTCTAATATATTTTATTGATTTTTTACAGAGAGGAAGGGAGAGAGATAGAGAGCCAGAAACATCGATGAGAGAGAAACATCGACCAGCTGCCTCCTGCACATCTCCCACTGGGGATGTGCCCGCAACCCAGGTACATGCCCTTGACCGGAATCGAACCCGGGACCTTTCAGTCCGCAGGCCGACGCTCTATCCACTGAGCCAAACCGGTTTCGGCTAATCCGTAACTCTTGACTGGGATTCAAACCCTTAATCCTTCGTTGCTTGGGCCAACACTCTAACCACTGAGAAACACCAGCCAGGGCTGCCACCTAACTTCTTAATTTTCTGATTGTGAAACCAAACACATCATAGACTTGCTTAGAATGTGACATATGCTGAAACACCAGCCAGAGGCCAGACCACAAGAACACAATGATTTTAAATCATCCAAAATTTAATTCAGATATTAATGAATTCTCTTTGTTGAGTGCTCCCTTTACTATGAGAGTAAATTATTTAGCTATGTCAGTCATAGATGAATTGGAAAAACACCCTGTGTGAAACCTAGTTAATTGTTCTGTCTCCTTGTGCTCATCCCTGCAGTCTGCCTACGTAACAGGTAACCCTGTCATCATCGATGGAGGCTGGAGCCTGTGACTTCAGTTCTCCTCGCTGGGAGGAGGCCCTTCCTATCCACTGTGAGCCTGGTTCTGAAGAATACTCACCCGTCATGTCTTTCTTGTTAATGGTACAGGAATGAAAACAAGGCCTTCATAATGATGTCATTGTTCATGAGTCTGGTTCTTTAAATATGTTAATTGCTCTCTAATCTCTTCTACATTCATTGTAGATGACATCAAAGATAATGAACTCACTGCAAATGAATAGTTCTAAAAATAAACCTCAATTTGTAAGCATATAAAGTAAAATGTGAATATGAAGAAAAAAGGAAGGTTGTTGTTGTTGTTTTTTAAGAAAAGATATTCATTTCTATTTTACCTCTTCTCTATTTCCCAATATTCAAATATTTTTGTACAGTTCTGCATTGGTCTGTTTATGGGTACTAATTTTAAAATCTTACGCCTTTATAAACGAATACCAGAGGTAGTGTTATTGTGATGGGCATGCACGCTTAGCGTCATATAGTGAAATGGGTATAGATATGTAACCTTTAACTGAGGTAAAGAAAATTTTGTAACTTCTTTGTACTCTATGTATCTTGATGTCAATCTGTACTTCGAGGACCCGGACACGCTCCAGCCAAGCGTTACACCTGTTTTTCAAAGAATGTGTTGTGGAAACACTCCAGCCAGGTGTGATCCTGTTTTCCTACTGAACTTTTACCCTGCCAGTTAATGCTTTGTAGTTCTCGCCAATAAAAAGCCTTGCGGGACCCTTGGTCTGCACTACAAGCTGCGAGGCTCCCAGAGGAGCTCTTAAATTTAAAGGCTCTTAAATTTAAATTCTGAGTCGGTGGTCTATCTCGCTGAGTGAACCCATAACATTTGGAGGCCCGCAGCGAGATCCCCGGCAGGGGTGAGAGGGACCCCCTATTTAAGGCAGGAGGCTCTCCGCCATTTATCGCCAGGCACGCAGCGAGATACCCCACACCTGTGGGGAACGACTACCAAGGAGGCCTTCAGTCTCCGTCCCGGGTCCCAGGGAGGTGGAGGAGACTCGACCCAAAACGTTTGATTCGGAAACCGAGCCACCTGGACTCTTGAGAGAGGTAAGGAAGACCGGTCGTTAAACTGGAATTGGGACGTCCCACGGAAGGACCTATACGGAGGGCTGGATGCAGCGGTACTCCTGGTCCTGACCGGCGGCCACGACGATGGCCGGGGTCCCTGGTTCGTGCGGCTGTAGCTGCACCGGGTTTGTCTGTCTGGTGTTTGTTTGTCTTGGTGTCAAAAAGTCGTCTGCGAGAAACCAAGATGGCGGCATAGGTAAACACCGGAAATTGCTGCCTCCCACAACTTCAAAAATACAACGAAAAGACAAAACGGACATCATCCAGAACTACAGGAAGGCTGGCTGAGTGAAAATTCTACAACTAGAAGAAAAGAGAAAAGCACACTGAGACTCAGAGGAGCTGCGGAAGTAAAGTGCAGAGGTACGGAGGCTCGAGCGCTCATGGAAAGGGGCTGGTACCTGAGGACGCGGCTGTTTTTTTGAATCGGGAGGGAGTCACAAGCTCCCGACTGCTCTGAACTCTGGTTCCGGGAAGTCTCTGGGGACCCAGGGCTCATACGGGGAGAAACTGGACTGTCAGGCAGCAGGCAGAACTTGGAACTTGAGGGCAACTTTCCCTCAGAGGTGCTTGCAGCAATTACCAGGAGACTGAGACTCGTGGACCCTTAGGGCAGGGCTGAGGATCAACCATAGCTGCTTGCTCCACCCTGTTGATTCCTAGACCCCGCCCCACTCAGGCTGCAGCAGAGGCTTTTGCATATGAATGCCCTGGCCTTTTGCAACCTGAAAATTACCTAACAAATTGCAGCTGGGCCAGACAGGCCCAGAACTTCCAAGAGAAGGCCCAAGGCCCCACAGCAGCTTGCATTGCTTCACAGCTGGGCCTCATCTGGGCACCTCCAAACCCCAAAAAAGGAAGGGGAATCTGCAGATCTCTTCGTAGCTCCTGCTGGGTAACCTCAGGCAGAGGCTGAATTAGCACCTCCTTAGATCCAAGAGCCAGTGTACCCAGTGGTCAGAGTAGGACCATCCAGATTACAACTCCTCAGATCCATAAGGGACACACTCAAGGGGCAGACTCAGTGAGCACCAAAGCCCCACTGAAGCAAGTCTTGCCCCAGAAGGGTGTCTTCAGCACAGAAGTTCTCCCACTGCAGACACAGCTGATTCTCACAGCCAATTGGCCTGGAGGTCAATTCCTCCCAGTGATACCTACAACAATCAAGGCATAGCTACAACAAGACTGTGCACAAAGCCCACAAGGGGGTGCACCAAGAGTGTCCACCTCAGGTAACTGGGGAGGCTGAGCCACTGGGCCCTGTAGGACACCTAGCACACAAAACCACTCTACCAACACAGGGAAGCATAAAAAATGCGGAGACAAAGAAACAGGTCACAAATGACAGAAATGGAGGAAAGAAAACGACTGGATATAGAGTTCAAAACCACGTTTATAAGGTTTTTCAAGAATTTTCTGGAAACCGCCAATAAATTTAGTGAGACCCTGGAGGATATGAAAAAAGACCAACTAGAAATTAAGCATACACTGACTGAAATAAAGAATAATATACAGAGATCCAACAGCAGACAAGAGGATCCCAAGAATCAAGTCAAAGATTTGAAATATGAAGAAATAAAAAATACCCAACCCAAGAATAAAAAGAATAAAAAAAATACGAAGGTAGTGTAAGGAGCCTCTGGGACAACTTCAAGCGTACCAACATCAGAATTATAGGGGTGCCTGAAGAAGAGAGAGGGCAAGATATTGAAAACCTATTTGAAGAAATAATGACAGAAAACTTCCCCTACCTGGTGAAAGAAATAGACTTCCAAGTCCAGGAAGCACAGAGAACCCTAAACAAAAGGAATCCAAAGAGGACCACACCAAGACACATCATAATTAAAATGCCAAGAGCAAAAGACAAAGAGAGAATCCTAAAAGCAGCAAGAGAAAAACAGTCAGTTACCTACAAGGGAGTACCCATACGACTGTCAGCTGATTTCTCAACAGAAACCATGCAGGCCAGAAGAGAGAGGCAAGAAATATTCAAAGTTATGAATAGCAAGAACCTACAACCAAGATTACTTTATCCAGCAAAGCTATCATTCAGAATTGAAGGTCAGATAAAGAGCTTCACAGATAAGCAAAAGCTAAAGGAGTTCATCACCACCAAACCAGCATTATATGAAATGCTGAAAGGTATTCTTTAAGAAGAGGAAGAAGAAAAAGGAACTCTTACCATTTGCCACAGCATAGATGGAGCTAGAGAGCATTATGCTAAGTGAAATAAGCCAGTCAGAGAAGGATAAATACCACATGATCTCACTCATTTGTGGAATATAATGAACAACATAAACTGATGAACAAGGACTGATCCAGAGACGGAGAGGTATTGATTGGACTGTCGGGCCTTGGAGGAAAGGTAGGGGAGGGTGGGGGTATGGGGGAAAGATCAACCAAAGGACTTACATGCAAGCATATAGGTCTAACCAATGGACACGGACAACAGGGAGGTGAGGACATGAGGGGGGGGGGAGGGGCGCTAGGGGGTAACGTGGGGATAAGGACACATATGTAATATCTTAATCAATAAAAAATATATTTAAAAAAAAGTCGTTTGCTTCTGTGTGCACCCTGCTGCAATGTTTTTTGAAAAATTTTCAGGACTTCAAGGAGCTAGCTGCAGGTTCCGGGCAACCTTAGGTTGCATTTGTCTGGTTTGTTTTGTCTTTGTTCTTTGTTGTCTTTGTCTTTGTCAAAATGGGATAGGGTCAGTCATCTTCGTCAACCCCCTATCAATCAGGCCCACTCCGAATGAGTGGAAGGGGAGCTTGATCACCTCCCGGGAAGCTATAGAGCTCCCTCAGGAATTGGGAAATTGTTAGGAATTGGGTGGATTGTTTAAACTCTGAGTGAATGTCTGGTGAAAGTGTGTGAGTGTGGAGGGAGGGGGCCTGCCCTCTCCCTTCTTTTGTGTGGCTCCACGACTTCGGTTATGGAGTCCGAGTGGGCCCCAACCTGCGGTTCCGCGATTCGTCATATGGCATAACAGTGACTCACCCCCATGTGGAGGTGACCAGGCCCGGGGTTTATACGGGTGCACCTTAGCTAAGATGAATCTAAGCTCCCAAGGGACACGGCCAAGTGGGCATCTGCATGAGGATCTGTGAAAACAGGTCACCCCCTCCCTTGTCTGTCTCTTGCCACCGATCATCATGGGGTCGGGACAAAGTTTGTTTGTGTGAGACTAGCCAATTTACTACAGAGAAGGGGGACTGGATACAGCTCCAGTCTGGGCTAGTCTACTAAGAGAGTGTATAAAGTACGGGTGTTTGTCTGCCTTGGCTGCTCATTACTGGTCTGTGTGAAGTGAAAGCTACTTTGATTTATTCTGCTTTTCTGTTGATACGCTTGGCTGAACGTTTGGGCTGGACCCATGATGGTCTGCAAAAGTCTCTTGCAGCTGCGAGAATTATTTTTCTCAGAGTCTTTTGCTCACTATTAAAGGGGAATCAGCCCACTGAGCTAATAAAGATTTCTGTCTATCAGTTGCTCTTACCTAGGTTGTAAATTTACTGTATTAAATTAAAGTTCTAGGGTAGATTTAAAGGTTATAATGTTAATGCTCTTGATTTGCAGAAATTCTGTGAACGGGAGTGGCCCACTTTCCAGGTGGGATGGCCGGACGCAGGGACTTATGATTTAACCACTGCTTATCGGGTTCACCATGTTGTCTATGGCTGGCCAGGTCATCCCAACCAAATTCCCTATATTCAAGTGTGGGTCAATATTTTGACTGAAAAACCAAGGTGGTTAAAGAGTTGCCAGAATGAGGAAAAGAAATTAGGACAGAGACAGACAATCCTCTTGGCTTTGGCCCAGAAGGGCAAAATTCCCCCAGTTCTCTAAGGTCCTGGTGAGGAGGCACTCCCCGGGGTCAGGCCTCTCCCGTATGCTCCTCCACCCACCGGTCCCACGGTGGCAAATGACCCCGATCCGGAGCCCCTGCCTCCTCCACAGCCGGTTTCCTTTCCTTCAGAAACACCAGTCCAGGACCCGGCTCCATTCTCCCCTCCTCACACTAGGCAAGGGACAGCGTATGGAGAGAGAGAGAGGGAGGGGGAGAACCTGTGGGACCCTGCGACATCCGCCAGTCCAGCAGTTCCTATGTTGCCACTACGGCAGGCAGGCCCTACGGGTCCAGACGGGCAGCCTTTTGTGGTCCGTGTCCCCTTTTCTACCGGTGGCCTGTACA